TAGGGCCTAGACTCTAGAGTCTATAGATAGACTATTTATGGACAGATAGGGCCTAGACTCTAGAGTCTATAGATAGACTATTTATGGACAGATAGGGCCTAGACTCTAGAGTCTATAGATAGACTATTTATGGACAGATTGCCTCTGACAGCAGCACTTTTGTTAACATGAGCGAATTTGCTCTCAATTCTCCTATGATTCATGATGGGCCTCTGTGTGGATCTACTCTAGAAGAAGTGTTTCAATCACTGTGGACTTCAGTGCTAGCTGATAGATCATATTATATATAGATAAATATAAAGGCTTCTGCTACGCTTTGCTAGAGAGGGGAGCTTGTATTCCACCCCCTGATCCCTTTCCTTCTGTCCCACCCCTCTTCAAAGGAAGAAAAACTGAGTGAATGAAGGAGGAACAATGTGAAGCCCTGCCACTCTGCAATCATATTTTATCGACCCCACCCCACCCCTCGGATTAATCCTTTTCAATTTTGTGCATTTTGGTTTCAATTTATATGGCTATCAAAAGATCCTGACGTATCATAAATTTGTATGCATGGGGATAGATTTAAATGACTAGTGTTCCTTGTGTCTGTTTTCTTTTTTTCCGTTTTTTTTAAATTGAATATTTTTGATGATTCTTCTCTGCACAATTTCTCGCAGGTTTTCCCCAAGGGTCACTGAGAGGCTCTGCTCTCACTGTTCACAGGCAAGGCACTGAGACACAGAAGCTGAGACACAGACACTGAGACACAGACACTGAGACACAGACAAGAGAAGACAGTGAGACACAGACAAGAGAAGACAGTGAGACACAGACAAGACAGTGAGACACAGACAAGACAGTGAGACACAGACAAGACAGTGAGACACATATGAGACAGTGAGAGGCTGTACTAGTGACAAGACACTGAGGCTTGTACCATGGAGAACAAATCGTCTCAGGCAATTGTGCAGCTGTTGACGAAACTCAACAAAGTGTCTGTGGAAGGTAAAGGAAAACGTGGGGAGGAATTGTTGCTTCATGGCCTAGATATATATATATCGTCGATGTCCGACTCTAACCGTGTAAGTGCACGAGAATTCATTTTGAGAAAAACGAAAAAAAAACTTTTAAAAATTCTCTTACTATCTACCAATTAATGATTATTGCTGAAATGTTTATATTTTTATACTGACTGATAGTGTCAACATAAATTCGAGTCGATAGTTTAAAAAACTAATTAATTAAGGCGTATGCACGATTAGCGCATACAAATTTGTCCGCAGTTGCGCGCTTAGCGCCAGAAACGGTTAGCGTCCAGCATGCTTAAGAGCAAATGTAACCGGCGCTTACACGGTTTGAGGCTTGCACGTTTATCTCCCGCAACACTGTGTGGTCAACTTGGCGCTTGACGGTTTCTCGTTCTCAGGTTTACCAGTGGATATAATGGTCTCTTGTAGAGTTTTGATACCATTTTAGCGTCGTCGGCCCACAGAAGAGTTATGTGCCAAATATAATGATAAAATGTTGGTGGAATCAAGTGCAGACAAACACGTGAAATGATTTGAAAAGAAACAAACAAAATCTCACGTTTTTCCTGTGAAATTCTATTGTGAAATTATTACAACCATGTTTATGGAAAATGTTTAAAATATTGGAAACATACATCTGGTGGTTTATAGAGTGTCGCACATACATCAATGCAACTAACTTCATGAATTTAAAGGGTGAAGGAAGAAAGCAGAAAAATGCAACATTATTTTAACAGTAAACATGATGAAAAGGACACTGATTTAAAGTAAACGACTAAGAGTAATTGCAAATGTATTAAGAAAGAATAAGTCAATTCGTAATAACGTGAATAACTAAAATGTCAAAGGGTTTTCATGGCTAATGACATTCCTTAAAATTAAATTACAGATAGTTGCAAAATGAAATCCATAGTCAAATATAAAAAGAATGCAGTACCAAGAAAACAATCAATTAGTGATAGTGGCTAATTAGTCATATGTACCACAAAAAGGACTTTTTGTAAAAAAAAAATGATGTGAAAGTCCTATTGCAAAGCATTATTCGTGAAGCAAGGCATCATAAATAGCAGGGATATCCTGAGGAATGTTTCAGCTCTCGGAGGTTTTTGTACTTGGAGGCTGAAATCTTCCTTTTGTTTGTCAGTAGGCGTTTTGGGTCATTCTCTATGAGAGTAGAGTTTCCTCTCACAGTAAGCTCTTGCCACTCTGCGTCGTGGTCAAGCTTGTAGCTGATCCGGCCATCCGGTGTGTACTGAAGACATCCGGTGTCTACAACTTGGGGTTCGCCTGCTTTCTTTCTGGGCCAAATGCTTTTCAAGGGGCAAACATCTGTGTAATCCTTAAAGAAGGCGTGAGTCGCCTCTGTCACGTACCTGACCTAGTCAGACGGACAATATATTGACATAGTTTTCAATTTTCCCTCAATGGTGTGAGGCACGCTATCTACTTCCATCTGGGTATGCCCTTTCCCTAGGAACTTGAGAGTTACTTTGATGTTGTTTCTTTGCGCAGTGAAAGTTATTGCCTTAGACAGTGTGACGTCTCTACATGCATTTTGGCATGGGCAGCCGTCCAAAAAATGTTTGGTCCTGGCTGAGATGGTGGCAGAGACATGAGGCAAATTCATTAGCTTTTAGACCTTCTCCATCCTCATGTCACACATAGCAGGTGACTTCCTTTGTAGTGGCATCGTAATTTGTGTAGTTTTGTACACAAAGCTTCGTCTTGTAGTAAAGTGCGGATGCCTAGGACTGATTGCAGATCCATTGTCAGCATTTTTACTGTGGCTTTACTTGCGAGTGCCCTCTGTTTGTCATCTCGTAGGTGGCCAAGTGGTTAGGCTCTCGGACTCGCAACCGTAAGGTCGTGGGTTCGAATCCCGTCAGGGGCCCGCACCCAGGTGGAAATGGGTACCCGGCTATAGACAGTGAACGATCTTGTCAGTTTGATAGAGTTTGAGCTTGTGAAATCCGCAGCTTGCACTGTATGCTTCCACGGAAGTTTCTGAGTGCTCTTAGAGGGTTAGCTTGGGTAATAATAGTTGTAAAGCGCATAGAGCATGCTCTGGAGCATGGATATTCGTTATATCAATGCAATAATAATTATTATTATCTCCTTTAGACTTTTGTGTCTGCTCCTTTCTCTGCCGATGCAGGACATACGCTTCCTCGTCCACATCACCTTCACTGCAGGAGACGCACAGATCACACTGGTCTTTTCTCTGCTGAAAAGGGGCGTAACTGCCAGATTCAAACTGGTGGACAAAGACCTGCCTAGATGATGGTGTTATCTGCTTCTCTGCACACCATCTTTTATACTCTTGGTGCACCTCTGCCTTGCTGTTCAACATCGGCTCGATATAGAGTTTTGAAAAGGATTTCCGGCAATAATGGGACTTATTGCCATTCCTGAGTTTTGGGCTGCTGCTGGGTTTCTGTGTTGTGAGCTTAACAAACTTGAGCTCTAATCGTGAGATGAGTAATCCCAGTGGTATTAGGGAACATCTTTTTGCATACTGGAACTAGTCCACTTCCAACATTGCGATGATACCTCAAGGTGTTACTCCTACTGGAGTCTGATTGCTCCTCACGATGTCTACCAACGGGAACCTTGTGAAACAACGATTTCACCAGAGCATTTCTTTGAGGCCAAGGCATTGCCCACGCCTCTTTGTATATGTTCTGTCTGGTTTCATTGGTTACATCACTGCATTTAACCCCAGCAGTCTTGCAGTTGCATCTTTCTCCTAACAGCTTTGTTGGCTTCTCAGAAAAAGTGTATTTTGAGCCACCTTTCTCATATTTTCTTCCTAAATAGGCCTCCCCTTTACCTCTTTTATGTTTGTTGATATTTTTCTTCCAATTGTCTTTAGCCACCTTCATTTTGTTTTACCTTGGGGTGATCTCATCTGCCTTTTCTTGAGCTACAGTGTTGTTTACATTATAAGAGCGTCCATGAACGTGCCGTTCTCCAGCCACGTCTCCGATGACTTTTTCATCTACAGCGTTGGAATCACTTGTGTCCTGGTTGTCTCTATCATCCAAGTCCATAATGTGAGCAGGTTCTTTCAGTTCTTGTGGTATGCTGTCGGTAATATCACCCACAGCCTCCACTGATTTTTTTATCCCTGACAACTGCATCCAGCAATGAATGATCAGTATCCCTGACAACTGCATCCAGCAATGAATGATCAGTATCCCTGACAACTGCATCCAGCAATGAATGATCAGTATCCCTGACAACTGCATCCAGCAATGAATGATCAGTATCCCTGACAACTGCATCCAGCAATGAATGATCAGTATCCCTGACAACTGCATCCAGCAATGAATGATCAGTATTTGATGAGGAAGAACGGAGTGGTTGCTCTACCACTGCCCTGTCTGTTTGCCCATCGACATCTTTGGATTGACGGCGTGACCCTGTCGCGTCTTGGTGCTCAGCTATTGGTCTGCACGTACATGTGTCTCCTTCAAAGGTTCTTTCCGTTTCAAAGTTTTCCTCTTCGTCTTCTTCAATAAAGTGATCGGCTGATTCCCATTCAAATTGTTGTCCACAACTTGTGTCATTGCACCCTTGCTTATCCAAATCCATAATGTCTGTGTTTTCATCTACCTCTTGTGGGATAGTACCATCTACAGCCTGCACTGGTTCTTGAACAGTAGCTGCCCCATCTAATAAGGCGAGATCATTAGATAAAGAGCCAAGGGTTTGCAGCCATACTCCCATGTTTGAGGATGTTGTCTTTTACTGAAGGCCAATAACAATTCTACCTGCTTTTATTAACAGTCTGGTTTATCAATACATTATCTGCACCATTAAAGACAACACGTTCAGAAAAAGAAGTGTCATTCAAAGTGCTGTCACCTGGTTCTGTCTCATCAGATGGGATGGGTGTTGAACTTCTAACCCTCTGCAGAAGTTCAGAAGGACGAGGTGGCGTATAAGCTACTCTCGCCTTTGAAAGGCACACCATCTTCACAGCTCGACTGAGAGGATACATCTTCTGTTGGAGAAAAAAACATAATAGGTTTACTGAACATCTATTGTAAATAGTGGTCTTTGTTAATCTGCAAAGAATAACATTATTAGAGTATTTTTGCGTCAACAAGCAGTAGTTGAGGTTGTGTAAATGGTGTTAACAAGGATCATGATGTTGGACAATGATGAAACTACTACTACTACTGCTGCTGCTGCTGCTGCTGCTGCTGCTGCTGCTGCTGCTGCTGCTTCTACTACTACTACTACTACTACTACTACTACTACTACTACTACTACTACTACTACTACTACTTACTACTACTACTACTACTACTACTACTACTACTACTACCACTACCACTACCACTACTACTACTACTACTACTACTACTACTACTACTACTACTACTACTACTACTACTACCACTACTACTACTACTACTACTACTACTACTACTACTACTACTACTACTACTACTACTACTACTACTACTTCTTTTGTGACGGATTAAAATAGCTGAAATGGATGGGGAGACTACAGTGGTAATGGTGGGATCATAGTTTTATTTACCTCAGAGTTGCAATGAATTCTGGCAACAAGCCAATGCGTGGACTCACAATGTATAGAGATCTGAGATATAATTAATGCAATAGGCTACTTAACGTTGTTGTTTCATGGGATAAAGCTATTCTAATAGGAAGAAAGAAAGTGGAGAAGACATAACACTTTTCGGGGGGTGTTGTTGCTGCTGACTGGTTGAAATTATCAGTATTAAAGTAAGTTCATCAACTGGTGGTGATAATGCCAGAGACTAAGAAAGTTTTGGGAAAATACATCTTTAAGACATCAAAGTAGCAACAAGACTCATTCTGCTTCAACTAAGATAATACCATGGCCATTATCTGTATTTTCTGAATAAAAAACATTGCTGTAACACTAACAGTCCTGAAAGATTAGTCGATGTTTTTGTGGATTTTAAAATATATTTCCGCTATATTAAAAACAATCATTAAAAACAATCATTAAAAACAATCATTAAAAACAATCATTAAACACAACAATTAAAAGCAACAAACAACCACAACAAAAAAGCAACATTGCAATAAGTTCACGGTAACAATTACTGGGCGCTAATCGTGGAAGCGCCACATACCAGCCACCAGCGGGCCGCACCTTGCTACAGTAAGCGTGTTAGCGCCACTTGCACGAAGCCAGCTATCGTGTTGTGAAATGTTTTGACCGTGCTAAACGTACACACACACACACACACACACACACACACACACACACACACACACAAACAAACACACTCACAAACACTCATGACTCGCACAGCCTGCGGGCACGGGCACATTTTGTTGTCTTCACTTTCTAGTCAAGATAAATGAATATTTATATCATTGGAAGCAAAGAAAATAAATTAGCTTTCAGATGATATTACAGTGGAACTTGGATTCAACGAGGTCACCGGGCCTGACCTAAAATCTCGTTGAATCCGAGTGTTCGTTATAGCAAACACTAGGTTTTGTGTAGATAATTACAGGCACTGAGCAAGTAATGTATAAAGAGAAGTCACAAGTAGTGCCTGAAATGCCTGCATAGTATGAGCTGTGTAAAAAAAAATATACCGGTTCGTTCAAATACACACACGCCTGTGTCATCTCGATTGTTTGTCAAAAACTTGTGTTGCTGTGTAGAGCCTAGCATACGGCAACTTTTGATTCCATAGAGCAGCGCACAATTCATTACGTAGATCTATGTCAAGACTAGCTTATCATTGTAATTATGATCAGTTGCCGAGGGGGAAAGAAAGACTGTGACACGTTTGTATCTGCGACGTTCAACGCCCGGACCGCTGGTGCCCCCCCCCTCCCAGACACGCACAAACAGCCACACGTTTGCAGGCCGCCCATCCGACCCCGACACACGCCAGAGTAGACTCGTGCGCGAGCCAACAAAGCATGTGTTGGTATGAAAGAAGGCGGCTGATAGGTCGCCTGCAATCGGCTAAGTGAATAATGGTTCACGATGCAGGTGCAATGGAAGGTTTCCGGGAATAGATAAAGTTCGTTCTGGGAGATAAATGAGCGAGGCCACGTCTTCGGGGGCTGTTCACCCTGGCAGCGACCTCGTTGAATCCCAGCTCGCTGATTTAAGTGCTCGTTGAATCCCAGTTATTTTTATTGATTTTAAAGAAGAAGAAAAACGGGGAATCTATCTCATCTCGTTGAATCCGAGTTCTCGTTGAATCCGAGTTCCACTGTACCAATAATTCCACATGCCCATGAATTGACGAGCGCCTTCTGATTCCACCATGTCGTGACTCATTTTTTTTGAAAGAGTGGATAGAGTTGTAGTGAACTGTTGACTATTTCATGCTTTGATTGTCTTATGAAATGACTTCCTAGGATCTTTATTATAACGCACATTTTGTTTGTTTGTTGTAAAGCCATCTTGTCAACTTTGTTGATTCCACAGATGCGTTACGAAGAGGCTGCCTTCCTTTCTACATCAGCAACAAGCAAGTAGGGCTCATCAGACCAGACTTCTGGCAACACCTTCAGGCTTTTGATCAAGTTTTTACCAAAGTTGACGCCCAAGGTACAAAGACGGGAGACTTGAAGTCTGGAGTTCACATCTCGTCCAATCTCACGACTCCCGCAGAGCGGACCAAGGCTGTCAACGACGTCCTTGAGAAGCTGAGGAAAGACGACGTGATCGGAGCTCTCCGAGGCTGGAGACATGAAGTAAGTGGCGGCCAGAGAGGGAGATCAATCTATCTGCTCAATACCTAGTCAGGAGAATTTTGACCTGAACAAACTGTGCTTTTCTCATGTCTAGCTTTTTGGAATACAATTCTTGGAATATCTCGATGGCCACTTGGAATAGTTTTACGATTGTGATAGAGTGGACAGAACATGAGTTTTCTGACCTCGTGGTCTTTGTAGCTCAAAACGGCAAAAAATATCCCATAGAACTTTGTAATTCTAAGGTAGATATATATATATA